TTAGGAAGAGTATTTAATTTTAGCATGACAAACAAGAAAACCCAATTTTTTGTGTTCTAACTGCTCAACCAGATATAGTTTCAAATATTATTAGATGTTTGGGCTATTTTACTAAAACTAGCAATTCCCAGAAAAGTTTTGGTCCGGTATTGACCGAAATTTTTAGTCACACATTATTCAGAAACGACAAACGTCTCGCCATTCGTTTTCAATCAATTCCATACGTGCAGAAGTTTATTAAACCTCTCAGACACATGAAAACTTTTTGTCGAATATTTTTTCCAATGATGAAAATTTTTTTTGATTTTTTGTCCAAACTCACAAAAAAATTAACGACGTGTAAAAACCACTCCTTAATTCGCAATTACCTAACTGGCAAACTGCAATTAAGGGTTTAACTTTTTAAGCAACAATGATCCTTCAATTTTTGTTCATAACTACAAGTAAAAACAGTTATTCTTCCTATATGGCTAGAAGCCATTTAAATTGAAAAATTTCGTAAGTGAATGAAATTCCTGGCCGCTTTTTCACAAATTCAAGATATATTGACCCTTTGAAATATAAAAAAAAACATAAAATCTTGAGTGACATACTAAAAGTTATTTTTGATTCACTGGAATAAAAAAATTCAGTCTGGACATGATTATATACAAAAATGTTCATTTTTTGTTGAAATGCAAAAATTTTTTCAAAAGTCGAAAACAAAAATGAGCCTAAAAATTTTTGGCGACTAATATATGAAAAAATAGGATAATTTTTGCAAATGGTTTTGAAAATATTTTGCAACCGATGTAAGAAAAAAAGCGTCACACATTTTTAATATTTGAAAATTGTTTAATATTCTTTTTTCAATACCCTTATTTTTGCATGACAATCAGTTTTCTTGCATTTTCTACAGAAAATTACTGGTTGTATCAGATCAAAATTGATAAATCAAATATTTTTATTTTTTTTTGTTTTTCTTTTCCAGCTGACAAAACAGGAAAATAATTGCTCAAATTTTGAGTCGTACATAAAATGAATCTGACCACATAGCTCGCCTCATTTAAAATTGGAATAATTTTGGGTGAGGGATAATTCGCCCTGCTTAAGTAAATAGTGCCTGCGCTTTCATTATCATAGATATTCTTTCAAGAGCGGGTATAAGTTATTCCCGAACTTGGCCAAAATGGCAGTTTTGAAATTCTTATAACCCATAACTTTACAAAAAATGATCGCAGAAAAATTATCTCTTCTTCAAATTTAAACTGATGTTTTTAAGGGGATTTTGGATTTTGTAGGATAATATTATTACAATAAGGCTCTCAAGATCTCAAGAAAAAAAAGAAAACAGCTCAGAGCACATTTTTTGTCGCTTTAATCAAATATTGGAGAAATATGAGTTATTCTTGCATGAAAACGATACTTTTTGATCTGAATGCCCTGTAAGTTGCTTCAATTAGCTAATTGTATTTGAAACAATTTAAAGGTTCTCACAAACTAACTTTCAAAGTAATTCATCTATTTTCAAGTTTTTTTGGAATGATTACAAGTAAATAATCCTGTCTTAGTAATTTTTGCAAAATATCTCCCCCTTAATGCATGGCTAATCAAAATTGATTCTGTTTTTTTTTGCATCTGAAAAAAACGCGATCAAAATTTATGGTTTTCAACTGTCAATAATTGGTAAAAATATGGGTTTGCTGAAATTAAAAACTTGCTCCAGTATTTGATTATTTTGTCGAGCACCTTGCTTTTAGAAACTCAATGAGTTTTGTATTTGTCAGAAGAAGCTCACTAAATATGGAAGTGCAAAACTTTTTTCTTAGTTGTTTTGACTATTTTTTCAATGGTCGGAACAATGAAATGATCTTTTTCTCCGAAAATTTTTCTCAGCACTTGAAACAAATAATCTACCTAAATCTATCCTATATTAAAATTTGATGCATTCTTGATTCAGAATTTCGATATAAACACGAGTATTGTTTCAATGGTCGGAACAATGAAATGATCTTTTCTTCCAAAAACTTTATTAGCACTCAAAACAGATAATCTACTTAAAGCTATCCTATATTAAAACTTGATGCATTCTTGAATAAAAATTCGATATAATTTTTGACAAAGTTAAGCGAAATTAAGCGCAAAAAAACTTGACGAAATGGGGACCGATCGTTTAACAGACCAATCTTTTAACAGAACAACGTGATTGAATGATGCATGATTGGTTGACAGACTCAAAAAGACGCTCAGCCTGGGGCCAAGCTTCCCCAATTCAGACAATTATCTCGCAATTTGTAAGCAAAACTATCAACTTCAAAAACACTAGTCTAAATTAGCGGCAAAACAAAGATTTACGCGCACAATAACGCTCGTGTTGAAAGGTGGCGTCCCTCATGGGGGCTATTTTCATACGCGAAGGACCAAATGCACGAAAAACTCGTGAGCGAATGACCGAAAATAAAATTAGCCGAAAGTCAAATTTTAAAAAGAAGCAGTCGCCATTCAATTAAATGAACCAACATTTTGCTTTTTTCATAACGAAAGTCTTGGAATATAAAATTTTTTCCGATTCGGCGGCGTCAGTGGCAAATTGGAAATTTTGCTTATTTCTGCCGTTTTTATATTTGGCCAATATCAATACTCATTCTCTAAAACTGTTTACTTTCTTTCCAAATTTAAGATCACTGGAATCTGATTGGTGGATTTTTATTTTCGCACATTCGGTCCCTCGCGTATGAGGGATTCCACCGTCCCTCATGCTTGAAGGACCGAATGCTTGAAATAATTTTCGCTTACTTTCAGCCAATCAGAATTTATTATTCAAAATCTCTACGTAAACCGCAAAAATCTCAAGGTAAGAAAATAAATCCAAGCCATTAGTGGTAATATTGACCGATTAGATAATAAACAGATGAGTTTTCAAGACTGAAAAATTCTTATGATTTTGAACTCAAAAATTTTGATGATTATCTGAATAGTAATGCGGTTGTAATATTTTTGATTATTTTCCACTGATTTAATATATTTTCTGTTAATTTTGACTTCGATTTTGTGAGAAAGGCATTTAGCCAATAGAAACGCTAAGCGATTTTGATTGGTTGAAATTTTTCAAGCATGCGGTCCTTCAAGCATGTAAACCCTCCCCGTGTTGAATTGAAGCGCAGCGGAGCAAGCGGTCACACTTTATAATTGTTCTGAGTCTGCTAAAAACCGGTCTGCTAAAAAACCGGTCTGCTAAAAAACTAGTCTGCTAAAATCCCTAGCACCTGACAAAATTAAGCACGATAGCAGGTTTTTAGTCTCTAGCAGCAGGCCTGTTTTCAAAAAAATTTAAGACACTATCTACTTTGAGCTTAGACAAAAACTTTTCATAGACCGATAGAAAACTATCAGTGGTACCTATAATGAAATTATAAAATTTGGTTTCAAGCAAGAACTAGTTATTTACTCCACTACCTGTCCCATCGGAGTAAAGTCCTTGGAACCAGATTTTGATAATTTTTATTGGGCCATCTCGCGAAAATTACTAATTCTTAGAAAATTGACAAGTAGTATCAGCGCAGCTAAGCGTAAAAAATTATTTCGGGTTTTCCCATTGGCATCAATCATATGAAAATCTAATTGTTGAAAATTTTAAACTTCATACGAGGAATTCAAAGACATTCTGAGGATATATACAGGGGCTGATTTAGGAGGGGGGCGGGGGGCGGACTCACCCCCCTCAGGGATTCGACCCCCTGCCGACCCAAAGGGTCCCCCCTTTGTACTATTTTGAGATATCCATATTTCGTGACGGACCCTAAAATTTTTCTAAAGGCGCCTTCGCCGCCAATATATACTTACTTTAAGGCGGGAGCGCGCGCCAAAAAAAAAAAACAAATTTTTTTGGTCAAAATTTTCTAAAAAGTGCCTAAAAACGCCTTTTTTGGCGTTTTTCAAAATTTTGCCTGCGGCGCTGAAAAATTCACCAAAACACGGTCTTTTTTAGTGCTTTGGGAGAGCTTAGAAAATCATTTCGGTCGACCTAAAAAAAATCGACAAAATTTTCGAAAATTTTTGAAAATCCGCCCCCCCCCCCCCTCGAGAAATCGAGAAAATCCTAGATCGGCCCCTGGATATACAAACAGGTTGCCGATCCCATAGTATGGCATTTTGGGGAAAGCGCAATCAATCTGGGAATTTGAAAACACGTTAAAAATTGTGAAGGAAATCCGGAATATAACCGAGATTTAAGTGTGTTCCAAATTGCCCTGCATCGAGTTAACACGGTGTTAATTTAACCTAAGGCTTTCTAAAACTAATCATTGGCTGTGTAAAACTCAAAAAAAGGCCAGACACAGTTCTGCCAGACAGTTTTTGACTTAACACTTTGCACCGTAATGGTAGCTCTGATAACTTGTAGTTTGTTCTCGGTCTATGTAAAACATTTGCTCAATGTCAAATTTGAAAAGAGGCAATTTTGAAAACAGGCAAAACAGGCAATAAAAGCCTGATTTTGTGCTTCTTTTTGTCCACTAGTTAACGAGACGTCTAATTGAAATTTAGTAGCGCCAATAATCAGGGGCGGATCATCTAGGATTTTCTCGAGGGGGGTGGGGGCTTATTTTCAAAAAAAATCGAAATTTTTGTCGACCCCTTTTTAGGTCGTTCATATTGATTTTCCGAGCTCTCCCAGAGAAAATTGTTTGCGGAAAAATGTTCTGCGCCGCAGGCAAAATTTTGAAAAAACAGGCCAAAAAAGGCATTTTAAACTTTGACTGCAGATAAATTTAGCACACAGATAAATAAAAGGGTCTAGGCCTATAGAAAGGTCCAATCCAGAGCGAATTTCCCAACCAGCAGATGGATTCTAACACGAGAAGGCTACCAAACCAGATGAAGTTCCCAACCAGCAGAAGGGTCTCAACCAAGGAAAAGTATCAACCAACAGAGGGATCCTCCCAAACCAGACGAAAGCCCAACCAGCAGAAGGGTCTCAACCAAGAAAAAGTCTCAACCAAAAGAGGGATCCTCCCAAACAGATGAAGTTCCCAACCCGCAGAAGGGTCTCAACCAAGGAAAAGTCTCAACCAACAGAGGGATCCTCCCAAACCAGACGAAGTCCCAATCAGCAGAAGGGCCTCAACCAAGAAAAAGTCTCAACCAACAGAGGGATCCTCCCAAACCAGACGAAGTTCCCAACCAGCAGAAGGGTCTCAACCAAGGAAAATTCTCAACCAACAGAGGGATCCTCCCAAATCAGACGAAATCCCAATCACCAGAAGGGCCTCAACCAAGAAAAAGTCTCAACCAACAGAGGGATCCTCCCAAACCAGACGAAGTTCCCAACCAGCAGAAGGGTCTCAACCAAGGAAAAGTCTCAACCAACAGAGGGATCCTCCCAAACCAGACGAAGTCCCAATCAGCAGAAGGGCCTCAACCAAGAAAAAGTCTCAACCAACAGAGGGATCCTCCCGAACCAGACAAAGTCCCAACCAGCAGAAGGGTCTCAACCAAGGAAAAGCCTCAACCAACAGAGGGATCCTCGCAAACCAGACAAAATCTCAACCAGCAGAAGGGTCTCAACCCAGAAAAAGTCTCAACCAACAGAGGGATCCTCCCAAACCAGACGAAGTCCCAACCAGCAGAAGGGTCTCAACCAAGGAAAAGTCTCAACCAACAGAGGGATCCTCCCAAAACAGACAAAATTCCAAACAGCAGAAGGGTCTCAACCAAGGAAAAGTCTCAAACAACAGAGGGATCCTCCCAAACCAGACGAAATCCCAACCAGCAGAAGGGTCTCAACCAAGGAAAAGTCTCAACCATCAGCGGGATCCTCCCAAATTGGACGAAGTCCCAACCAGGAGAAGGGTCTCAACCAACAGAGGGATCCTCCCAAACCAGACGAAGTTCCCAACCAGCAGAAGGGTCTAAATCAAGGAAAAGTGTCAACCAACAGAGAGATCCTCCCAAACCAGACGAAGTCCCCAACCAGCAGAAGGGTCTTAACCAAAGAAATGTCTCAACCAACAGAGGGATCCTCCCAAACCAGACAAAAAAATCCCAACCAGCAGAAGGGCTTCAACCAAGAAAAAATCTCAACCAACAGAGGGAGCCTCTCAAACCAGACGAAGTTCCCAACCAACAGAAGGGTCTCAACCAAGGAAAAGTCTCAAACAACAGAGGTCTCCTCCCAAACCAGACAAGGTTCCCAACCAGCGGAAGGGTCTCAACCAAGGAAAAATTCCAACCAACAGAGGGATCCTCCCAAACCAGACGAAGTCCCAACTAGCAGAAGGGTCTCAACCAAGGAAAAATCTCAACCAACAGAGGGATCCTCCCAAACCAGACGAAGTTCCCAACCAGCAGAAGGGTCTCAACCAAAAAAAGTCTCAAACAACAGAGGTCTCCTCCCAAATCAGACGAAGTTCGCAACCAGCAGAAGGGTCTCAACCAATGAAAAACCTTAACCAACACAGGGATCCTCTCAAACCAGACAAATTTCCCAACCAGCAGAAGGGTTGCAATCAAGGAAGAGTCTCAACGAACAGAGGTATGATGCGTTGATTATAACCTGAGCATATGATTGATTCGTCATTAAGAGAAGTAGTACAGCAAACAAAGATAGCTCAAAATAATTCAAGTTTGGAAAATATTGTCCCTCTTAAGCCAGAAATTAAAATTTGACAAAATCGCGAAACCCCCCCCCACCAAAATCGGAACTAAGGAAACTAATATTTGGAAATTCAGAGGAGCGATACTAGAGATGATTTGACACGGGGATACGAAAAACGGAACCCCTCAAGCCCTTGTCCCCGGAAGTGTAAATAACCCTATCAGAACTCGAAAACTAGCGGCAGTACTGGGCTCAAATTTTGATATGTTGTAGGCCTAATTGAGGGAAACTTAAGTTTAGAACCCCAGAACCCTAAGACCCCACTTCTGTTTTTATGCCCTAAGTAAATAGACCCACCCCTAACTTCCGGAAGTCGTTTCTCGGCCTCCAATGAACGCAGGGAGATGAAAGTTGGAGGGATGATTTGTAGTGGCAAAACAAATCTTTTGTTATAATTCAAACTTTTTCCAACGGTTGGATCGGAAGCTATTAGCTTTTGAAAAACACCCGCCTAGATTGGAAATAGGTTATTTACGAACAATAATAAACAGTCGCATAATGATTTCATTGCGGCAGTCGACAAAAAATACGAACCGCGAAAAAGGACCCCAAATGAGTGAAAACCCTCTGGCGACTCCTTCCGATGGCAATAGCTTTTTTCCGGAAAAAACGACAATGGACCTTAGAAATGAGATAAATTTTGGAGTATGATTGAGATATAAATGGAGTTTGGTAGTTGGAACGCTCAAAATTTTCTTATCCCATATGTAGAAGTTTGAGCCCGGTTGACCACTGGATGACCTTAAGTTGACATTTGGGCTTTTTGACCCCAAAATTGCATAGAAAACTCCGCGATTAAAAAGAAGCAATCGCCATTCAAATGAATGAAGCAAAATTTTGCTTCTTTCATAACGAAACTCTTGAAATATAAAATTTGTTCCAATTCGGAGGCGTCAGTGGCAATTTGGAAATTTTGCTTATTTCTGCCGTTTTTATATTTGGCCAATATCAATACTCATTCTCTGAAACTGTTTACTTTCTTTCCAAATTTTAGATCACTGAAATCTGATTGGTGGATGTTTATTTTCGCGCATTCCGTCCCTCGCCTATGAGGGATTCCACCGTCCCTCGTGCTTGAAGGACCGAATGTTTGAAATTAATTTTTGCTTATATTCAGCCAATCAGAATTGACTACTCAAAATCTCGACGTAAATCGCAAAAATCTCAAGGTAAGGAAATAAATCCAGGCCATTAGTGGTAATATTGATTGATTAGATAATAAGCAGACTAGTTTTGAAGACTGCAAAATTGTCATGATTTTGAACTAATTTCCCAACCAGCAGAAGGGTCGCAACCAAGGAAGAGTCTTAACGAACAGAGGGATCCTCCCAAACCAAACGAAGTTCCCAACCAGCAGAAGGGTCTTAATCTAGGAAAAGTCTCAACCAACAGAGGGATCTTTCCAAACCAGACGAAGTTCCCAACCAGCAGAATGGTCTCAACCAATGAAAAGTCTCAACCAACATAGGGATCCTCCCAAACCAAACGAAGATCCCAACCAGCAGAAGGGTCTCAACCAAGGAAGAGTCTCAACCAACATAGGGATCCTCCCAAACCAGATGAAGTTCCCATCCAGCAGAAGGCTCTCAATCAAGGAAAAGTCTCAACCAACAGAGGGCTTTTCCCAAACCAGACGAATCTCCTAACCAGCAGAAGGGTCTCAACCAAAGAAAAGTCTCAAGCAACAGAATGATTCTTCAACCAACAGAAGGATCGTAGCTAACAGAAGCTTACCAGCCATCAAAACGGTCTCATACCGCAGAAAGATCCCAACTAATACAACGGTTCCGACCAGCAAAATAAGTTCTAAACTTGTTTATACTTAATTTCGCCAGTTTCAGCAATAATTGTTTATTTTTGGTTTACCAAGGTAGCATTTAAAATAAGGTCTCAACACCAGAAATTTTCAAAAGCTCGAATTTAAATAAATACTTTGAAATCTTATCAGATCCCAAACGATAAATGAGTTACGCATATGGTGATTTTCTAAGCGTTTTTAATAGTTGCTCATTAAATTCAACGTCTAAATTTCAATGATATAAAAATTGCATCAAAAATTGCAGAGGGAAACAAAACCATACCGAATAAAGTTTTTGTTCAGGCATCAAATGAAAGTAACGAGATGTTTGTCCTCCAAAATGATTTTCAATTTGTTTTTACATAGCATGAGGAAAGATGCATTTCAAAAAATCTCAAAATTTTCGCTTTGAATTTTTTTTTAATTTGAATCAATCGTTTATTGTTTATGGCAAACTCAACTCTAGAGACCTCAAAAAGCAGAGCAATTTCCCTTCTTTGCTGTAAGAGTATTTTTGTCATTTTTGAAAAAATTGATACAAGAAGATGGTTAAGCTAACCAAAAGAATTTTAACCAAACAAAAATTTTTCTCAGTTGGTTTTTGCTGAACTAAAATTGTCCTAATAACGCTATGTTTGTACCTCTAAAACTACTTGAGGTAAAGATGTACGCTTCATATAGTTCAATTGATTAAATGAAGTGATTGGAGCAGATAGGAGAATTTTCATGAAAAAATTAAAAGTAACGGCCGTTTTTTGTTCAGACTTTTGAAAAAATTAAAGAAAATATATGCTTGGGTGGTTTTCAGAATTCAGTTATTTTTCGTTTAAATACCTACGCATTTTAAAAAAATAGTACTGAAAGGTATCGTTGTCTTGAATTGTTATTTAGAACGATTTTCTGTGAAAATTTTTCTTAAAGTAACGGATTTTGAAAATAGCAAGTTTACGCGCGATAAGTTGCGTTTATAAAACACGCGTAAGCGGCGTTTTGATGCATTCCAAATTGAATTGAAGCGAGATACTTATTCCTATCAAAACAAATTTGCTCGTGTACAGGGTAAAGCCGTGAATGATGCGACTGCCACTTAATCCAAATCGAGTTGTTTTTGGGAAAAAATACCAAAAAACTACACATTTTGGGCAATATCAAAGATCAGTTGTGAAAATTGGAGTCGCGCAAAACTATTGCGATTAAATAGGTAGTCTGAATTCAACGATTTTGTTGTGCGAGATATTTCGCCACGCATAAATCATTCGTGTTATGCTTCCAGCTGTAGGATCGGTGGTCTTAATACACTTTCGACAAAATAAGAACTGAACATAGAATGTGTTTCCTTGGGACTTGCATGCAGTGTGGTTAGGCTCATAGTAACCCGAGCGTATGATTGATTCGTCATTAAGATAAGTAGTACAGCAAACAAAGATAGCTCAAAATAATTATAGTTTGGAAAATATTGTCCCTCTTAAGCCAGAAATTAAAATTCGACAAAATCGCGAGCCCCCCCCCCCACCAAAATCGGAACTAAAGCAGCTAATATTATGAAATTCAGAGGAGCGATACTAGAGATGATTTGACACGGGGATACAAAAAACGGAACCCCTCAAACCCTTGTGGGGCAAGTGACAACTGTCCCCGGAAGTGTAAATAACCCTATCAGAACTCGGAAACTAGCGGCAGTATTGTCCTCAAATTATAATATGTTGTAGGCCTAGTTGAGGCAAACTTACGTTTGGAACCCCAGAACCCTAGGATACCACTTACGTTCTTATGCCCTAAGTAAAAATACCCACCCATAACTTCCGCAAGTCGTTTCTCGGCCTCCACTGAACGCAGGGAGATGAAAGTTGGAGGGATAATTTATAGTGGCAAGATAAATCTTTTGTCATAATTTAAACTTTTATCCAAATAGGTTATTTAAAAACAACAATGGACAGTGGCATAATGATTTCACTGCGGCAGTCTACTTAAGATACGAACCGCGAAAGAAGTCCCCTTGTGAGTGAAAACCCTCCGGCGACTCCTTCCGATGGCAATAGCTTTTTTCCGGAAAAAGTGACAATGGACCTTAGAAATGAGATAAATTTTGAAGTATGATTGAGATATGAATGGAATTTAGTAGTTGGAACCCTCAAAGGTTTCTGATCCCATATGTGGAAGTTTGAACCCGGTTAACCACTGGATGACCTTAAGTTGACGTTTGGGCGTTTTGACCCCAAAATTGCATAAGAAACCCCGAGATAAACACCGGAAAGTGGTGTATTCCCTGGCCTATTCCCATGGAGATATGAACCGGCACCTTGATAAAAATTGGGTGGAAACTTGTATTTTGGGAACTAGATCAGAGGATGATAGTGATAGAGCTTGTACATTGCAACCCTGGAGTAGCAGAGTTAATTCAAAAAGGACATGGTAAATTTTGGGTTCAATTTGGTAATCGTTCTAATAATAGCAATTCAACTAGGTAGTGCCTGGGGAAACTGTTAGTAATAGGACTGCAGCATGAGAGTTAAGTCTAATAAATAGTATGAATGGACGGGAATCTTATTTGGCTTCCTGGATGTGACGTTTTGGTTTAATTCAAACCCTAATAGACGAACTACCTTCCTCTGATAGCTAGAAGGTCGGAATTCGAGTACAGTACAGATAGAAAATTTAAAAGCCTGAAATGATTTAGCTACCTATGAAAAGAGTCTCCCCCTACCCTTGGGAGGACGGAGCGTTAAAAAAGTCGTTAAAATAAAGACCTTGGGAGGGTCACTGAGCAAAGATAGCATGGTTTGGAGGTTGAGTTGAACTCGATAGCTGAAATCACTGACGTCAGGAAATAGTTGATTAGAATCGTATGACATTTGTTTGCTTGGTCAAATCGTGACACCTACCACATACCGGGTATCTAGTAAGCGTGAAAGGATTGATAGGAAAACGAATTTGGCACGTGGCAGAGTTGACAGGAGGAGGGAAATTGTCCTAAAGCATGTGCGGAAGGGTGATTTAAGCGGAATGGCGTGACTTAACTAAAACTAAGTGTAAAGAAAGATAAGGATTTGGAGGGTACTGGAGAAAATGTCAGATTCACAACAGTTGTTTGGTACTATAAGGAGTAGTTGGTTTTCAGTCAGAGTAGAGAGCAATTGATAACGAGACAAATTCTCAGTTAATTAGAGAGAACAATTGATCCTCCCAACAAGCAGAAGGGTCTCAATTTAGGAAAAGTCTCAACCAACAGAGGGTTCCTCCCAAACCGGACGAAGTTCCCAACCAGCAGAAGGGTCTCATTCTAGGAAAAGTCTCAACCAACAGAGGGATCCTTCCAAACCAAACGAATTTCCCAACCAGCAGAAGAGTCTCAACCAATGAAAAGTCTCAACCCACATAGGGAACCTCTCAAACCAGACAAAGTTCTCAACCAGCAGAAGGGTCTCAACCAAAGAAAAGGCTCAACCAACAGAGGAATCTTCCCAAACCAGACAAAATCCCAACCAGCAGAAAGGGTCTCAACCAAGGAAAAGTCTCAACCAAGATATGGATACTCTCAAACCAGACGAAGCTCCCAACCAGCAGAAGGGTCTCAATCTAGCAAAAGTCTCAACCAACAGAGGGATCCTACCAAACCAGACGAATTTCCCAAACAGCAGAAGGGTCTCAATCTAGGAAATCCTCAACCAACAGAGGGATTCTCCCAAACCAGACGAAGTTGCCAACCAGCAGAAGGGTCTCATTCTAGGAAAAGTCTCAACCAACAGAGGGATCCTTCCAAACCAGACAGATTTCCCAACCAGCAGAAGGGTCTCAACCAATGAAAAGTCTCAACCCACATAGGGATCCTCCAAAACCAGACGAAGTTCCCAAACAGCAGAAGGGTCTCAATCTAGGAAATCCTCAACCAACAGAGGGATTCTCCCAAACCAGACGAAGTACCCAACCAGCAGGAGGGTCTCATTCTAGGAAAAGTCTCAACCAACAGAGGGATCCTTCCAAACCAGACGGATTTCCCAACCAGTAGAAGGGTCTCAACCAATGAACAGTATCAACCAACAGAGGGATCCTCCCAAACCAGACGAAGTCCCAACCAGTAGAAAGGGTCTCAATCTAGGAAAAATCTCAACCAACAGAGGAGTCTTCCCAAACCAGACGAAGTTACCAATCAGCAGAAGGGTCTCAATCTAGGAAAATTCTCAACCAACAGAGGGATCCTCCCAAACCAGACGAATTTACTAATCAGCAGAAGGGTCTCAATCTAGGAAAAGTCTCAACCAACAGAGGAATCCTTCCAAACCAGACGAATTTCCCAACCAGCAGAAGGGTCTCAACCAATGAAAAGTCTCAACCCACATAGGGATCCTCTCAAACCAGACAAAGTTCCCAACCAGCGGAAGGGTCTCAACCAAGGAAGAGTATCAACCAACAGAGGGATCTTCTCAAACCAGACAAATTAGCCAACCAGCAGAAGGGTCTCAACCAAGGAACAGTCTCAACCAACAGAGGGATCCTCCTAAACCAGACCAATTTCCCAACCAGCAGAAAGGTCTCAACCAATGAAAAGTCTCTACCAAGATATGGATCCTCTCAAACCAGACAAAGCTCCCAACCAGCGGAAGGGTCTCAACCAAGGAAGAGTCTCAACCAAGGAAGAGTCTCAACCAACAAAGGGATCCTCGCAAACCAGACGAAGTTTCCAACCAGCAGAAGGGTCTCAATCTAGGAAAAGTCTCAACCAACAGAGGGATCCTCCCAAACCAGACAAAGTTACCAATCAGCAGAAGGGTCTCAATCTAGGAAAAGTCTCAACCAACAGAGGGATCCTTCCAAACCAGACGAATTTCCCAACCAGCAGAAAGGTCTCAACCAATGAAAAGTCTCAACCAAGATAGGGATCCTCCCAAACCAGACAAATTTCCCAACCAGCAGAAAGGTCTCAATCTAGGAAAAGTCTCAACCAGCAGAAGGGTCTCAACCAATGAAAAGTCTCAACCCAAATAGGGATCCTCTCAAACCAGACAGAGTTCTCAACCAGCGGAAGGGTCTCAACCAAGGAAGAGTCTCAACCAACAGAGGGATCCTCCCAAACCAGACAAAGTTCCCAACCAGCAGAAGGGTCTCAACCAAGGAAAAGTATCAATCAACAGAGGGATCCTCCCAAACCAGACGAAGTCCCAACCAGTAGAAAGGGTCTCAATCTAGGAAAAATCTCAACCAACAGAGGGATCTTCCCAAACCAGACGAAGTTACCAATCAGCAGAAGGGTCTCAATCTAGGAAAATTCTCAACCAACAGAGGGATCCTCCCAAACCAGACGAAGTTACCAATCAGCAGAAGGGTCTCAATCTAGGAAAAGTCTCAACCAACAGAGGGATCCTTCCAAACCAGACGAATTTCCCAACCAGCAGAAGGGTCTCAATCTAGGAAAAGTCTCAACCAGCAGAAGGGTCTCAACCAATGAAAAGTCTCAACCCACATAGGGATCATCTCAAACCAGACAAAGTTCCCAACCAGCGGAAGAGTCTCAACCAAGGAAGAGTATCAACCAAGGAAGAGTCTCAACCAACAAAGGGATCCTCGCAAACCAGACGAAGTTCCCAACCAGCAGAAGGGTCTCAATCTAGGAAAATTCTCAACCAACAGAGTGATCCTCTCAAACCAGACAAATTAGCCAACCAGCAGAAGGGTCTCAACCAAGGAAGAGTCTCAACCAACAGAGGGATCCTCCCAAACCAGACGAATTTCCCAACCAGCAGAAAGATCTCAACCAATGAAAAGTCTCTACCAAGATATGGATCCTCTCAAACCAGACAAAGCTCCCAACCAGCGGAAGGGTCTCAACCAAGGAAGAGTCTCAACCAAGGAAGAGTCTCAACCAACAAAGGGATCCTCGCAAACCAGACGAACTCCCAACCAGCAGAAGGGTCTATATCTAGGAAAAGTCTCAACCAACAGAGGGATCCTCCCAAACCAGACAAAGTTACCAATCAGCAGAAGGGTCTCAATCTAGGAAAAGTCTCAACCAACAGAGGGATCCTTCCAAACCAGACGAATTTCCCAACCAGCAGAAAGGTCTCAACCAATGAAAAGTCTCAACCAAGATAGGGATCCTCCCAAACCAGACAAATTTCCCAACCAGCAGAAGGGTCTCAATCTAGGAAAAGTCTCAACCAGCAGAAGGGTCTCAACCAATGAAAAGTCTCAACCCACATAGGGATCCTCTCAAACCAGACAAAGTTCCCAACCAGCGGAAGGGTCGCAACCAAGGAAGAGTCTCAACCAACAGAGGGACCTCTCAAACCAGACAATTTAGCCAACCAGCAGAAGGGTCTCAACCAAGGAAGAGTCTCAACCAATAGAGGGATCCTCCCAAACCAGACGAATTTCCCAACCAGCAGAAAGGTCTCAACCAATGAAAATTCTCAACCAAGATAGGGATCCTCCCAAACCAGATGAATTTCCCGACCAGCAGAAGGGTCTCAATCTAGCAAAAGTCTCAACCAACAGAGGGATCCTCCCAAACCAGACGAAGTCCCAACCAGTAGAAAGGGTCTCAATCTAGGAAAAATCTCAACCAACAGAGGGATCTTCCCAAACCAGACGAAGTTACCAATCAGCAGAAGGGTCTCAATCTAGGAAAATTCTCAACCAACAGAGGGATCCTCCCAAACCAGACGAAGTTACCAATCAGCAGAAGGGTCTCAATCTAGGAAAAGTCTCAACCAACAGAGGGATCCTTCCAAACCAGACGAATTTCCCAACCAGCAGAAGGGTCTCAATCTAGGAAAAGTCTCAACCAGCAGAAGGGTCTCAACCAATGAAAAGTCTCAACCCACATAGGGATCATCTCAAACCAGACAAAGTTCCCAACCAGCAGAAGGGTCTCAATCTAGGAAAATTCTCAACCAACAGAGGGATCCTCTCAAACCAGACAAATTAGCCAACCAGCAGAAGGGTCTCAACCAAGGAAGAGTATCAACCAAGGAAGAGTCTCAACCAACAAAGGGATCCTCGCAAACCAGACGAAGTTCCCAACCAGCAGAAGGGTCTCAATCTAGGAAAATTCTCAACCAACAGAGGGATCCTCTCAAACCAGACAAATTAGCCAACCAGCAGAAGGGTCTCAACCAAGGAAGAGTCTCAACCAACAGAGGGATCCTCCCAAACCAGACGAATTTCCCAACCAGCAGAAAGGTCTCAACCAATGAAAAGTCTCTACCAAGATATGGATCCTCTCAAACCAGACAAAGCTCCCAACCAGCGGAAGGGTCTCAACCAAGGAAGAGTCTCAACCAAGGAAGAGTCTCAACCAACAAAGGGATCCTCGCAAACCAGACGAACTCCCAACCAGCAGAAGGGTCTATATCTAGGAAAAGTCTCAACCAACAGAGGGATCCTCCCAAACCAGACAAAGTTACCAATCAGCAGAAGGGTCTCAATCTAGGAAAAGTCTCAACCAACAGAGGGATCCTTCCAAACCAGACGAATTTCCCAACCAGCAGAAAGGTCTCAACCAATGAAAAGTCTCAACCAAGATAGGGATCCTCCCAAACCAGACAAATTTCCCAACCAGCAGAAGGGTCTCAATCTAGGAAAAGTCTCAACCAGCAGAAGGGTCTCAACCAATGAAAAGTCTCAACCCACATAGGGATCCTCTCAAACCAGACAAAGTTCCCAACCAGCGGAAGGGTCGCAACCAAGGAAGAGTCTCAACCAACAGAGGGATCCTCTCAAACCAGACAATTTAGCCAACCAGCAGAAGGGTCTCAACCAAGGAAGAGTCTCAACCAATAGAGGGATCCTCCCAAACCAGACGAATTTCCCAACCAGCAGAAAGGTCTCAACCAATGAAAATTCTCAACCAAGATAGGGATCCTCCCAAACCAGATGAATTTCCCGACCAGCAGAAGGGTCTCAATCTAGGAAAAGTCTCAACCAACAGAGGGATCCTCCCAAACCAGACGAAGTTCCCAACCAGCAGAAGGGTCTCAATCTAGGAAAAGTCTCAACCCACATAGGGATCCTCTCAAACCAGACAAAGTTCCCATCCAGCGGAAGGGCCTCAACCAAGGAAAAGTCTCAGCCCACATAGGCATCCTCTCAAACCGGACAAAGTTCCCAACCAGCGGAAGGGTCTCAACCAAGGAATAGTCTCAACCAACAGAGGGATCCTCTCAAACCAGACAAAAATCCCAACCAGCAGAAGGGTCTCAACCAAGGAAGAGTCGCAACCAACAGAGGAATCCTCCCAAACCAGACGAATTTCCCAACCCGCAGAAGGGTCTCAACCAAAGGAAAGTCTCAACCAACATAGCGATCCTCTCAAACAGACAAAACTCCCAACCAGCGGAAGGGTCTCAACCAACAGAGTGATCCTCCCAAAATAAATGGAGTTCCCAACCAGCAGAAGGGTCTCAATCGAGGAAAACTCTCAACCAACAGAGAGATCCTCTCAAACCAGACAAATTTCCCAACCAGCAGAAGGGTCTCAACCAATGAAAAAACGCAACCCACATAGGGATCCTCTCAAACCAGACAAAGTTCCCAACCAGCGGAAGGGTCTCAACCAAGCAGGAGTCTCAACCAACAGAGGGATCCTCTCAAACCAGACAATTTCCCAACAAGCAAGAGGGTCTCAACCAAGGAAGAGTCTCAACCAAAAGAGGGATCCTCTCAAACCAGACAAATTTCCCATTCAGCAGAAGGGTCTCAACCAAGGAAGAGTCGCAACCAACAGAGGGATCCTCCCAAACCAGACAAATTTCCCAACCAGAAGAAGGGTCTCAACCAATGAAAAGTCTCAACCAACATAGGGATCCTCTCAAACCAGACAAAATTCCCAACCAGCGGAATGGTCTCAACCAACAGAGGGATCCTCCCAAACCAGACAAAGTCCCAACCAGCAGAAGGGTCTCAACCAAGGAAAAGTCTCAACCAACAGAGGGATCCTCCCAAACCAGACGAATTTCCCAACCAGCAGAAGGGTCTCAACCAATGAAAAGTCTCAACCAACATAGGGATCCTCTCAAACCAGACAAAATTCCCAACCAGCAGAAAGGTCTCAACCAATGAAAAGTCTCAACCCACATAAGGATCCTCTCAAACCAGACAAAGTTCCCAACCAGCGGAAGGGTCTCAACCAAGGAAGAGTCTCAACCAACAGAGGGATCCTCACAAACCAGGCAAATTTCCCAACCAGCAGAAGGGTCTCAACCAAGGAAGAGTCTCAACCAACAGAGGGTTCCTCCCAAACCAGACAAATTTCCCAACCAGCAGAAGGGTCTCAACTAATGAAAAGTCTCAACCAACATAGGGATCCTCTCAAACCAGACAAAATTCCCAACCAGCGGAAAGGTCTCAACCAACAGAGAGATCCTCGCTAACTAGATAGAATTCCCAACCAGCAGAAGGGTCTCAATCAAGGAAAAGTCTCAACCAACAGAGAGATCCTCGCAAACCAGACGAAGTTCCCAACCAGCAGAAGGGTCTCAACCAAAGAAAAGTCTCAACCAACAGAATGATTCTTGAACCAACAGAAGGATCGTACTAACAAAAGCTTACCAACCAGCAAAACGGTCTCATACCGCAGAACGTTCCCAACTAATAGAACGGTGCCGACCAGCAAAATAAGTTCTAAACTTTTTATACTTAATTTCACAGTATTTTTGGTTTAACAAGGTAGCATTTAAAATAAGGTCTCAACACCAGAAATTTTCAAAAGCTCGAAACTACATAAATAATTTGAAGTATTATCAGATCCCAAACAGTAAATGAGTTACGCATATGGTGATTTTCTAAGTTTTTTTAATAGTTGCTCATTAAATTCAACATCTAAAAGATTTTTTGTCCTCCAAAAGGGTTTTCAATTTACTTTTTACATAGCATGAGGAAACATGCATTTCAAAAAATCTCAAAAATTTCGTTTTGATTTTTTTCTTTCAAATTTGCATCAATCGTTTATTGTTTATAGCAATTTCTACTCAAAAGACCTCAAAAAGCAGAGCAATTTCCCTTCTTTGCTGTAATAGTATATTGTCATTTCTGAAAAAATTGATACAAGAAGATGGTTAAGCCAACCAAAAGAAATTCAACCAAACAAAAATTTTTCTCAGTTGGTTCTTGCTGAACTAAAATTGTCCTTATAACCCTCTAAAACTACTTGAGGTAAAGATGAACGATTTAAATAGTCCAATTTATTGGACGAAGTGATTGGAGCAGATAGAAGATTTTTCGTGAAAAAATTGAAAGTTACGACCTTTTTTTTTTTGTTCAGATTTTTGAAAAAATTAAGGAATATGTATGCTTGGGGTGGTTTTCAGAATTCAATCATATTTCGACTAAATAAGTACACAAAGATACAGGGTAAAGCCGTAAATGATGCGACTGTCACTTAATCCAAATCGAGTTGTTTTTGGGGAAAAATACCAAACAACTACAAATTTTGGGCAATATCAAAGATCAGTTGTGAAAATTGGAGTCGCGCAAAACCATTGCGATTAAATAGCTAGTCTGAATTCAACGATTTTGTTGTGCGGGAGTTTTTGCCACGCATAAATCATTCGTGTTATGCTTCCAGCTGTAGGATCGGTGATCTTAATACACTTTCGACAAAATAATAACTGAACATAGAATGTATTACCTTGGGTTTTGCATGCAGTGTAGTAAGGCTCATAGTAACCTGAGCGTATGATTGATTCGTCATTAAGATAAGTAGTACAGCAAACAAAGATAGCTCAAAATAATCCAAGTTTGGAAAATATTGTCCCTCTTCAGCCAGAAATTAAAACTCGACAAAATCGCGAACCCCCCCCCCCCACCAAAATCGGAACTAAAGCAGCTAATATTATGAAATTCAGAGGAGCGATACTAGAGATGATTTTACACGGGGATAGGAAAAACGTAACCCCTCAAACCCTTGGGGGGCAAGTGATAACTGTCCCCGGAAGTGTAAATAACCCTATCAGAACTCGGAAACTAGCGGCAGTATTGGGCTCAAATTTTAGTATTTGTAGTAGTTGTAGGCCTAGTTGAGGGAAACTTAAGTTTGGAACCCCAGAACCCTAGGACCCCACTTCCGTTTTTATGCCATAAGTAAAAAGACCCGCCCCTAACTTCCGCAAGTCGTTTCTCGGCCTCCAATGAATGCAGGGAGATGAAAGTTGGAGGGCTGATTTGTAGTGGCAAGATAAATGTTTTGTTATAATTTGAACTTTTTCCAACGAGTGGATCGGAAGCTGTTAGTTTTTGAAAAACATCCCCTTAGACCAGAGGTTCTTAGTAAGTAAGGCTCATAGTGTAGTAAGGCACATAGTAACCTGAGCGTATGATTGATTCGTCATTAAGATGAGTAGTACAGCAATAAAAGATAGCTCAAAATAACTCAAGTTTGGAAAATATTGTCCCTCTTAAGCCAGAAAATAAAACTTGACAAAATCGCGAACCCCCCCCCCCCGCCCCCCCCCCCCCGTCGAAATAGGAACTATAGAAAGAGGTCGGAGAGTTAAAAGGATCGTTAAAATAAAGACCTTGGGAGCATGGTTTGGAGGTTGAGTTGAACTCGATGGCTGAAATCACTGACGTCAGGAATTAGTTGATTGGAATCCTATGGCATCTGTTTGCTTGGTCAAATTGTGACACCTACCGCATACCGGGTATCTAGTAAGCGTGAAAAGATTGATAAGAAAACGAATTTGGCACGTGGCAGAGTTGACAGGAGGAGGGACATAGTCTTAAAGCATGTGCGGAAGGGTGATTTAAGCGGAATGGCGTGACTTGACTAAAACTAAGTGTAAAGAAAGATTTGGAGGGTACCGGAGAGCCTGCAAGAGTCAAAACAGTTGTTGGCTACTATAAGGAGTAGTTGGCTCTCAGTCAGAGTAGAGAGCAATTGATACTGAGACAAAGTGTAGTTGATTCTCAGTTAAATAGAGAGAACAATTGATGCTAATGAATCGAGTAGTTGGTTCTCGGTGTAAGAGAACAATTATAATAGAAACAGTAGATAGTTGGTTCTCATTAGAGATTTTCTAGAAAGAGAGAACAGTTTAGTGTTAGTGAAATTAGTGGATGTTAACTTGCAATCAAGCAATTGTGCGGATAAATCGCGGACCCTTTCCTTTTGATTTGATTATTAGATTATATCCTGGCCACTGAGGACCTTCTGTAATTGGAAATTAGTTTATCATTGGACATTTTTGCGATTGTATCGAGCATAAGAGACAGCTTAAAGAGCAGTTCACAGAAGGGGCAAGCAAACTAGAGCAGTACAGAATAATTGCCACCAATATAACCCTTTCGGGATTGAGGATAGTAGTGAATCTCGGTCGCCCCGCTGAATTCATTACCCAAGGGACCACTTTGCGGTGCCGTTAAGTTAGAGTGCGTGAACGGACCTAGAGAAGCAATCCCCCTAAATCTACACCAGCACTGAAACCTTCAAAGTGCGCATAAAATAGTCCAGAGCATGACCAAATTAGCAATTTTGCCAATTTTGCAAGAATATGATCGGATGATTTCAGGAAGTAGATCTCTTCAATGGGGTACAAAAGATCTTGCTTAAAAATAATATTTCAATCGCCGAAAATTGACTGAACAAAAAAACTACCCCTAGCATAAAAATTCCGTTTTCTTGGAAAGTCGGTACAATAATGCGCGACACTAAACACTTCTTTGTGTTTTACATAGCGTGTGGGGAAGTAAGAAGAAGACTTTTTCTTTTTATTATTATTTCATCATTCATTCAACCAAAAAACTTTTTATTTGACAAAAGAGTGCAGTCGGATATATGCTTCGCCTTGATATACGAGCAGTCTTGTTTCGTTTTTTTTGTTAAGTGAACCTTATCAATTTTTGAAGCTTTCTCACGACAGTTATAACACCCTCCCACCTCCCCTGTGATGCCCACCTTGATGGCCAATGTGCCGAGTTTTTCCAAAGATTTGAATAAAGAATAAAAGACTTGAGTACTCATCACTCAAGGTATTTTCACGAAATAACTATTTTGTTTATTTTGTTACTTATATCTGATTATTTCTCGATTTTTTAAAATATTGAAAATTTGGCGGTCTTATATAATTTAAAAAAAGTGTTAGCAGGTAAAAATAGACTAGTAAATTGTTTCTTTATGAACTTCATGCGCATAAAATAAAAGAAAAGCTTTTACGTCAGTATTTTAATTGTTCTACTGCAACAAAATCATCAGTCTATGCGTTAATATGTTCCTCCTGATCTTCCGGGGGCGTTTTTGGAGGACTGCTAGAACTGGCTTCATTTCCAGCTGTTTTCAAATTTTCCAGTTCTTCTGGTTTTTTATCATCATCATTAGGTTTCATTGAAAGCTCAAGGTTTTTGGTCGAAAAAGTGTCAAGAAAATTGTTTTCCTCAACGTCTTCTAAATCGTTTTGTGTATTTTCTTTTGAAAGCGAATCTTTGTTTCCGTTTTTGACATCAAATGAGACGTGAGAGCCATTTGGCGATTTTGCTTCTAATTCGCGAGCAGATATCATTTCTTCTGCATTTGTAGCTTCATTACTTGGAGTTTCATGTGAAATATCAGCTTTGTCATCATCAATTTCATTTTGTTCATGAGTTTCATCATTTTTTTCGGCGTTTTCCGTTTCATCATCAATTATATCATTATAATCATCCATTAAATCATTTCGACCATCTATTACATAACTGGCAGACATGTCTGTAACATCGTTTTTCCGTTCCAAAGTGCCCTCCATAACATGTTGCAACATCTCAAGATCATCCATGGAACTGGCGCTCCTTTCAGCATTTGTGATATTTGTATTACTAGTTTCAATGTCTAAAGGAACTTTTTGAGATCCGTTAGAACGTTGTGAAGTTCCAGATTCTGGACGTTTGGGCGCCTCCGAAGCTTTTGAAGATGGTCTTGAAGATGTCAACTCTGGAGTCTTTCGATCGATTTCAAATTCAGCTGCTGGCGGTAATTTTGGTGCTACGTCAAACGTTGCTTGACTGTTTCTTGAGCCAGGTTTAGTTTGTTTCTTAACAACTGGCGCGACTGCAAAATTAGCAGAACGAAGTGATTGAGAGCTTTTCCTACCATCGTTTGAGTCCAGTTTTAAATCATTATTTGTAATTGGAAGACTTTTGACACTGTGATTGCTTGTTTTCGACGATGGGCGCCAAGACGCGTTCACTAAGCTTCTAGTTGAGTTAGCCGACACTTGTCGACTCATGTTCACTAAGCTTCGCGTAGATTTAGCCGACTCCTGTCGACTTGCGGTACCCTCACGTGACTTAGCTCGCTCATCAGCTGTTTGTATGGCTTCAATTTTATCGGACTTAGCAGAAACAGGGCGTGAATTAGGTTTCGTGAACGTTTTTGCGCTTGGAAAGCTTGGTGCTATTTTAGCCGAATTCGTAGAATCAGGGCGTTTGAAAGCTGATTGGACACGAGATTGAGCCGACATTGGACGTTTGCCACTCGTGTTTGGGCGAGAAATAGAAGCACTCGTTATTTTTCTCGGCTCAGCGGAAGATTCCGATTCAGTGTTTGGCGACTTGGCTTCTTCTTTTTTGCCCGACGTTTCTAAAGCTGTGCCTTCAATAACTAAACCAGCATTCGGAATCTCATTGGGATTGTTTTCGTTCGTAATATCGGCATCATCAGGTATGTCTTGGTTTTCGGTCAAATTTTCTTTTTTCATTCTTTCCGTCAAATCGTAAGTCTCATTTAAATTGTTTGAGATATCCGTTTCTTCTGTTTCGATTGTGCCGCCTAACTGCAGAATTTCTTCCTCTGTCGGATCGCTAATCTCAATTGCACTTTCATTTGTCGAAACAATAGCCGACTCGTTCTTGTCGTTTTCTTTCGTGAACTCCTCTCGTAAAATTTCCGTCAACGCTGTTTCGTTTTCCTCAAAAACATGCGATCTTTGATTGTCGGGTGTCAAAATCCCATTTTGTTCGTTCGAAGTCTTGTCGCCTTGATCCGAACGTGATGATTCGGGCCGAGTGGCGGGCTCGGTTGTCATTCCGTTGTCCTCTTCAAGGCCCGAGTCGTGTGAAGTCACGTGACTGGATGGTCGCTGGGAGTGTTCGTTTTGTCCTTCGGATTCCCCGATTTGGGGCGAAGAGTTTATTTGTTCATTTGGATCACGTGGGGGGATGTAGATGTCGTCATCTGGCTGCGAAAGACTGATGGATTTGTTGGGCTGACGCTTCAAAGATTGAACTAAAATGGGATAATACAATCAGCAGTCTATAGAATTTCAGTGCAATGACAAATCAGCTTTTAAGTATTACAGACCTAAAGAAAACTTGATTTGGATTCCAGAAGAAGGTATAAAGAAGAAGGAAGGGTATATATTCAATTTCCTTACCGCAAGTTGAAGCCGACCTATCCTATGTTAATTACCTGTACACTATTTGTATTCATGTGAGGCTAACCTGGGGTTTCGATCAGCTGGGCATTGTATGAGCCCTGGGTAGGTGTGAGAGAGCGGGGCTCGGAGGCCGACTGGACTGAACTGCTCGCCCCACAACCCATGTCACAGATCCAACTTCGGGTTTCTCTCAAAGCGCTATTTTTTCTATGTTTTTTTTGCAAAAAAATTAGTTTCTTATTTTCTGCAAATTTGCTTTTTTATTATATTTTCTGGAGTAACTGCGAATATATTTTCTGGAGTAAGGCGAATAAACTGGCTCCTCAGAATAAGGCTGAGCTGCAACTGGAATGAAAGTTCAAATGCTCAGAAATTGAAGTTTTTGATGATTTTCGAATAAATAATTGATTTCTAATTTTCTAGTTAATAACAAGTTTTCAAAAACTCCTCAATTTTTTCGAAGTGTATCAAATTAAAAATTAAAAGGATGCTTCAGAAAATTTGAAAGGAAAAACACATTTCAATTGAAAAACTGGTCAAAATATATTTTTCCATGCAGCGATTTAAGCACGGCGGTGTGTTTTTTGTTCGGAGCAGGTGATTTTAAACATAATTAGTATATAAGAACAATTGGTTCCCTTTTAATATCAATTGTAAATTATTCAACGTTCAATCTATGCATTTCGAGACGCTATATAGAAATGGTACCGTTGAGCAGATGCGTCGAATATCTTACCAAAATTTTCGATTAATTTTGATAACTTTTTGCGAAACATTACGGCGTTGTGTAAAATAGCAATCGAGCTACAATATTTCAACTTAAGCTCGTTTTTCTTGAAAATTTTTGTAGCCTTTCAAAATTAAATGTTGAGTACTAAATGTTGACTTCTACATGTTGAGTGCTCTAGGTTTCTTACTTTTTAACTTATTTTACAAGTCCCAAAGTTATATTTGAAGACAGAGGCGGGTCGAAGTCTCTTTTGTCAACTTTGTTTGTAAACTAAGAAAAAAAATAGGTTGATTTGCTAAGTTTGTAATTTATTCTTATTTGAACAATGTCGTCTACTTAGTCACTCTGCTTTTAGGCATGGAGACACCGGTATTAATTGTGGCAACGGTCGAAATATGTAAAAGTGGCAAATATAATCCATGGAAAACAGAGGATTTCGCTTCCAACCAAAAACGGGACCATCAATGCTATGCTCAAGTACAAATGAACCGTTTTATGGCTGCGCATGACATCTCAATTTTTTTATCATTTATTTATCATAAAAAACTAGTTGTTCAGAAGCAGCAAACTCAAAATAGATCACTAAATTAGTGGTCTATTAATAGATCACTAATTTTTTCAAATCTAATTTGAGTTAGCTGCTTTGACCAACTAGTTTTTTATGAGCAAAAAATTCAAAAATGTGCTGTCGCCAGGCGTTAATATAATAAGAACAATTAAAATGACTACAGATAATTGAAGTTTTTTTGTGAATCGAATCAAAGTTTTACAAATTTTTTTTTCCGATGAAAAAAAATCATCGTATCAGCGTTTTCTCTAAAATGACAGAAATTTCTGGGCATATTTTCCGCTGAAAAACATTCAGTCGTTCGTTCTGCATGATTCTCATGTCTTTTCACAAACTGAATGAGACAAAATGAGACAACCCGCATTTAAGAAAAGTGAAAACAAATCGATTATAATGGATTTTCGTGGTCTATAATGTTGTAAATATAATCGATTTCCATGTTACGTTCAGACAACAAAATTGGACTAAAAATGGATTTATATCCATTTTTTCTAGCCAAAACAAAAAGCATTATAATTCATTTTGGATCCATTATAATGGATTTTATAATAAGTAGGAAATCACACTAAAATGGATTTTTTTCCACTTTATTTTTGTTTCGCGCGTCGTGCAAAAATTTTGCAAGAATTGCAGCAATTATCAAGTGAGTGATGCGGAAACTTTGCAAAGCGAGTGTACGGCCTGCCCTAATCCATTTCAAAACCTAAACTCAATCCCCCTGATGTTTGCCCCTTTGCTCCCCTCCCGCCACTGAACTTAACCACTCCAGCTAAACACCTCCACCACCATTGAACAAACCCCACCCCCCCAACTGAACACCCCCCGCCTAAACAACAAACCCCCCCCCCCCACCTGAACCCACATATCCCCCCACCTGAACCCACAGATCCCCCCACCTGAACCCACATATCCCCCCAAACGAACCCACATACCCCCCACCTGCACCTACCCCCACCTGAAAACGTTAAAACGTTACGTTGGGGGGGGGGGGGGGTGTTGTTGTAAATGGGTAAACGCTAGGGGGGGGGGGGGAGAAATAAATCGATTATAATGGATGGAAAACGGATTTTGTTGCCTCGAAAAACAATCATATTATAATCCATTGTTAATTGATTATAATCGATTTCTTTTCACTTTTGTGCACACTGACAAGGAAACTCAAATTAAATCGCTTTTTATTCATGGAACTCCAATGCGAGAAAGTATTATTTGATTTTTTGGAAAGTAAGAAATTGTTCAATTTACTGCGTCAAACTACAACCTGTTATGTATTTCTGAAATGACGGATGTGTTTTTTGTACAGGCTTCAAAAAAAATTAAAACTGAAATTTTGTCTTTATTTTTCTAAACCATTTGAAAAAAAATACCATCATTTCTTTGTCGAAATCTTATGATGTTGAACTAAGCAAACAATTAATTGGAGCTATTTGATGCGCGCGAATGTAAAAATTTTCAAACAGCGCGTATCACCAGCAATCGTTTATTTTGGTTCAAAAAATCACTTCAAATTGATTTCCAACATTTAAAATTCTTGAGATATAAATAAGAGTTGGATAAAAATTATTTTAAAAAGTAGAAAAAATTAGAAGTTTATTATGCCTAGATACTGAAGTTTGCTTAAAGAGTTTGAAATGCGCTAAAAATTTTGGTCCTGATAAAAACAGTTTTCTTATTTATAAATCTTCTAATAAGGAACTTAAAATTCTATGCTGAATATTGCTTATGAGCAAAACTTCTTTAAAAAAAACCCAAACTTTTAGATTAACTTTGCCGTTTCATTTAAAATTAGATTAGAAGTATTTCAAAAATTCGAGGGCTTCACTCTGAAGACAACACTTTTGTTACGTCATTAAGTTTCACATTATGTCCCTTTGTTTTCTAAAAGAGTGTTCTAGTATAATCCTCCATTTTTGCTGAAACCAATTCTAAAAACTTGAATTCGTTAGATTTTGGTTTATAAATAAAACCAGCTTAATTAATTGTCTTATAAAAAACGGGCCCATTTTCTATTCACAAATTTTTTTTGAAAAACGTCAACTTATAAAGCAAATTGCTTAATTTAATACTGTCTATACTATTAGGAATTTGTAATGCGCGACCAATTAAACTGGCAGAAAAATCTTCTCTATCTGAATTAAAGTCTTTTAATTGAGCCATTCAAGGCGTTGCGTGGAATGTTTCATATTAACTTTGTAAATCGGTTCAATTGTAGTAATTGTTGAAAATACTATTTCGATACTTGAAAAAAATTCTTGATTGACAACTTAACAGTAACCCATAAAGTTTTAGCGGTCAACAGACAGTGACAGACACTCTGAAGGCCAGTACCTGTCTCTGATGTCTATCAACAGATAGAAACAGAATTGACTGACGGAAGAAATAGAAGATGAACTAATTAAGACTCAAATGCCTGATTTAGCACTATGACATTCCCTCTTGTGAAGCAAAATGAAACGGATCTATAATTGAAATGAATTTAAGTACTTAATTGAAAATTTTGAACAAATAAACTGGAATCCATCATAGATCACAACTGGAATGGCTGAATTAGGTTTGATAGCAAATACACGGTTACTTATTGGCTTTAACGGTTATATAAAATTTGAACGAGTTTTGTTTAACGAATTTTATGCAAGGCGATTTGAGTTCTTCGGTTTTCTGTCGGCTCTCTCACTGGGCTATGGTATTTAAAACTAACTCCCTTTTTTTCTTCCTTTGAAACCACTCTGTTCGCGCCTCGAGTTATACGGTCGATCATGACGGCCCCCATCTTACTCACCGCAGTGAGTTTTCGGTCACTCCGTCTGAACCCTGTATCGCCCTGGCTACTCCCCGAATCTTGGCTTGAGTAGGAAACGAGTGTTTGCTTCCTAGTATTCTTCTTCGTTTCGATTGCCGCCGACGCCGTATTTGGATTATTCTCCGGATCTTTCGCTCACGAATCTTCCGCTGCGTTTTCCTAGTTTTTCTTGTGCGTTTCATTGCCCTGCTCGTTCTCCGTGTTCGCGCCCGCCGTGTTTGCTGATGTTTTCTCATGTTCGGTGGCTATTGACTCGGTAGCTGCTCGTTCCGTCCCTTTCCTGCTGATACTGATCGGGTATTGCCCCTCCGGTAATGTTGCCAACGGTAATTTCCCCATGATCCACTTTGACGCCAGCGGTTGCACGTCACTATCCGATTCCGAATATTCTGATTCGTTGCGTCGCCCCTTGTTTTCTGTAACCGTCTTTTGACACTATGAACATTTTTTGCTAGGAATGTCTTTCTTAGTTCTGCAGGCGTTGGTGCCTTTGGTGCTCCCCCTGGAAATCGCTTCGAGTTTTTTGATTTTCTGATCACAATTCGTTATTTCATAAGCAAGCTACCAATGCTTAATTTTGTTGTATGCGCACGTTCAGCTATTTTTTTACTATTGAACAATTTATACCTGTTCGTAATCCTAGTAGCAGTGCGCTGAAACACCAATCGTGAGGGACTGGCTTCGGAACTTGGCCCGTGGAATGAGGTTGCCGTTGGTTCGTCGCCTTGTCGGGTCGCCTGTTCGTCCGTCAGCCTCAAGGGGTGGTTTCGTGCCATCCCTCATACTCCGAGTCGGATCTCACGCCCCAGTTGGTATCCGCTGGGTTTGGCATTCTTTGTGCCTCTGAGTGTTACTCATCTAAACAAGCATATTTGGAATGTAGTACATTGGATCATTTTTTTTGTTAACTTCGGAGTACTCTTGACATAAAATTCGTTCCCTGATCTACGTAAAATTTTTTAGGCACCCCATCATGATTGTTGATGTAGGTCTTCAGAAACATTATCCGAGCGGTTTGTATTGCATACCTTCGCCGATGGCCATCTAGAAAACCGATCCACCGCCACTACTGCGTACCTTCTGGACTGATTCAGATAGTTTATTTATCCTGAAAAATCCAACTGTATTGCCTCATTGGGCTCCTTTAGTTCGGTAATTTTAACTAAGTCCCCCTTGGTACACATTGTTTTTAAGTTCTTACCGGCAAGTACGCACTCCCGACAATTGTCGGTTTCTGATGCAATATTTCAGTGAGTATAAGGGTACCATTTATCCTTTGCGGCCGCGAACATGTTGTTCTTGCCGTGATGATAATTATGCAACCGATTGTTGATTGCCTTATTTAAAGTACCTGTCACCCATCTACTAACAGTTATATCGTACATGAAAGTCGCTAACCAGCCGCCCATAGTAACGGTTAATTGCATACACTTTCGAGGCGGTATCGAGATCTTTGGCTTTAATCATCTGGTAGATTGCTTCTAGCTGGGGGTCTG